AATCTGTTTGTGCCTGAAAGATGGTTAGAAATAAAAGAAAAATAGTAAATGTGATGTTTACTGAATCACTCGTAAGAACCATTTATAAATAAAATTTCTTGTGCAAATGCTTTCTGAGGCCCAATGGACCAGATTAACACATAAAAACAAATCCTGCACTATAAATCTATGTGTCCTTAATCATCATACAGATTCCTCCACCACCATCAGCGGATGTTTGCTTTCAGAGCAGGCAGCTGCTCTTCAGGAACTAATAGAATGTGTCTAGCTTTAAGTATTCATTTTAACAAAATGCACTGAGCTTTGTTTAAAAAAAATCTGTTGATTATCATCATTGTCATTATATGCAGAGTTGTTTGATTCACATCTTAGGATTAAATAAAACCTGGAAGATCAGCGGTTGAATCCTTTGTTCCTCCTAGGTGCACTAAAGAGCGCTTCTATAGATCCTCCCTCCCAGCTACTGTTGTTACTGATCTGTGATGCTCCCAGCAGGCCAAGCGGATGCTGGCAAACCTGCTACTGGTTGCACAGCTTCTTTGTAGAATGGAGAAATATTATCAGTTTCTTGCAGCTATTAGTAACACAGATATTATTGACTACGGATGTCGGTGTTTTGCAGATTTTATCCCTCTGGAAGTGTTTCTTTCTGCCTTTTGTTTTTAACTTAACGGATGCTGCTACTTTCACACTGAATTTCCCAAGTGTGGGAAAATAGACTGATGCGTGCACACAACCTGGGTGAATATCGTACACCTGGTTTGGAAGAACCAAGAAGGATTTTCCAGGAGTTCACTGCTGGTCATTATTTGGTAGCCAGACTTCTCCTTTAAGGGTCGTCTTTGGTTCATTTATTAGAGACTTGCACCTTTTTGTGCGCGCTATATGCTGCTAATATGTTGCTATAAGAAATCTCTAGGGCTGCTCAGTGGGGCAGCGGGCTGCCTTACAGAAAGAAGGTTCTGGGTTTGATTCCCGGCCTGGGGTCTTTCTGCATGGAGTCTGCATGTTCTCCCTGAGCATGCGTGGGTTCTCTCCGGGTACTCCGGCTTCCTCCCACAGTCCAAAAACATGACTGTTAGGTTAATTGGCTTCTCTAAATTCTCCTTAGGTGTGAGTGTAAATGACTTTTACACTTTTACAGGACGTTTGTCCTGTGTTGCCCTGCGATGGACTGGAGACCTGTCCAAGATGGACCCCACCTCTCGCCCGTAGACAGCTGGAGATGGACAGCAGCAGCCCTCACCCCCCCAGCTGGGATGAGCATGATGGAGGAAATCTCTTCTGTGGTTATAGTTCAATGCCAGAGGCATGATTCCAATAATCCTCTGTTCATAACCAGTGATACAAAAAGAGCCATATTGAACAAACTGTTGAATGGAAATGGCTGCAGATGGAGGTCACATGCTGGCTGCCAGTGGAAGCTCTGTTTCACGGTTACTATGTCCCAGTTCAGCCACTGACATGTTCTCATTATGAAGTCCTACAGGCTCCGGATGAATTCACACAATGTTTTCCCAACAAACAGGAGGAACAGACTGAAGGTGCATTTATAACCACAGAAAAAGCTCTGGTACCTGAATAGATGTAAACATGTATGTGTGTCTATGGACAACAGCATGTTCAATATAAGCCAACAGCTATCAGGAGGATGTAACGTCTCAGCAGGAATTTAAAGACAGTAAAAAGCATCTTCCTCCAGGTCACCTTCTGCACTCAGCCCTGAATAGATGTGTTCATGTCAGTTTCTGATACCTGGACATCAATCTGCTTTGATATCCAACATTTTTTCCCATCAGTTCAGGGATTTTTTGTGTGTCTGCGTCTTGATAAGATGATGTCTGTGTTGAAGACAAAGCCTTCTGGGACTATTGCTTAGTGATGTTTGTGCAAAGACTTCAATAGACGTCACTCTGCCCAGACCTGCTGTCGCGCTCTTTGTGGGTACATGTGGCTGTTTGTGTGTGAACTGGTTTCTCTGCCTTCGCACTTCCTGGAGAAGTTTGACAGCAACTCCCCAAAGACCCCCAGCGTCTCCTCTGCCCTCCTCTTTCCTACCGCCATCCCTTTCTTTTTCCCTTTTTCCTGTCTGCCTCTCTATAGTTTCCATCACACTGGCCTCCCCTTTCTTCCCTTTTTCTGTACTCCAATCTTTCTCTCCCAGCATGCAGGAGAATCCAACTGTGAGTTTTCATCTTTAAGTTGGTTTGCAGTGACAGATCCATGTGGAGTCTCAGGGCTCCTTCATTCTGAGACCAAACAACAGAATCCGCCATCCATCTGTGTGACTCTGAGTGCCCCCCTGCGCGCTTCTCTAGGCACATGTGGCCTTGTGTTTGGGCTCAGGCTGATATATGGATTTTCCAATATTGGCCTTGAATTAAAATCAGATCTCATCCAGTCAGAGAGAGACACCAATAATATGTGGCTGGATCTTTGCAGACTTTGCAGCCCATCAATAAGGTTTTATTATTTCATACCAGGTGTCTGAGCCGAGAAAATGCTCCTGAGTGCTGTGAGGGGATTTTCCTTTTCATTTTGGAAAATCTTCCCCACCACACAGCTGCCCACCTACCTGAAGTGGCTATAAATAAGCACCTATATTACCCTGTGAAGCAGCTGGTCTCTCGTGAGATTCAATAGAGCGGGATCGCAGGAGAATTCATCTTAACAGACTCTAGGCCCCAGAGATCCAGTCACTTAAGACCAATCGCTCCTCTGGACCGAGCCTTAAATAGCTTCTAATAACAGCACATGTCCCGGATGGCTATGTGCTCATCTGTTTACAGGCTGCATGGCCCAAAACCTTTTTAAGGTGCTTGTAAAATAAATTGCATTGCAAAGACTTAACTACGATGGAGCCTTTAAAGGAAACATCATGTAACAACAAAAAACAATAAAAACAAACTTTTACATTAATTGGACATATGTTCACTCTGAGGTAAAAGGTATTTGTAGAATTTAGAGAAGAAAAGGTCATTTTTTCATAATTAAAGTAATAAATATTATTATATTGACCACAGGTCCCTAGGCTCAGATCTACTCTGCACCCAGAACCAGAAGCAAACAGGAAGAAGCTGCTTTTCATTTTTATTCTCCACTATTCTGAAGCAAACTACCAGAAAACACTTAAAATACAAAAACCTTTAAAGGGAGACTAAATATAATAATTATTATTAATTGTTTCTGTTTTCTTAAATGATTTACCTCCATTAGTTACTAATTTTTATAGCACTGCATTACTTTTTCTATGATGTTTCTACTCCTGTTTTCATGCACAGCCCTTTGAAAGATCCTGCTACTGAAATTTGCTCTAAAAAAACAACTTGCTTTAGATATTAAAGGATAGCCTCTTGTTTTCAGGAATTACCGTAACGCTGAGACAAATGAAGCGCTTTGCTCATGGGCACCGGTAGTTTCTGGACTGGTTGTTGCAGCCGTTGAACGTTAAAGATTAAAAGGATCATTCTGAATGCTGCAAAAGCTTCATAGATGGGTCAGTTGAAGCAACATCAGGAAGTTTGACCTGAAGCTTTGCTAATGTGCTAGAAGGATAGCCTAGGTGCTACTTTAAGCTCTCAGTTACTAATATATATTTAATAATAATAATAATTCAATTTTATTGTCATTACACTGTCACAAGTACAGAGCAATGAAATGAACTCTCTGCATTTAACCCATCCCCTTGGGGAGCAGTGGGCTGCCATTGTGAGGCGCCCGGGGAGCAGTGTGGGGTTAAGGGTCTTGCTCAGGGACCCAGGGTGGCAGTCTGTGGGAGTGGGGGATCGAACTCACAACCTCAGGATTCAAAGCCCAATGCCCTAACCACTAGGCCGCCACTGCCCCTACCTATTTACTACACTGCTCTATATCAGAGGTCACAGATTAGCGGACCACGGTCCGGATCCGGATCCATGCTGATTTAAAACATTTAGAAATTACCACATGTTATCATATGACAGTGTCTAACTTCACCTGCCCCTCTTCTCCTGTTAATACGGTAAAGCCCTGGGGAGCGTCCGGCTCCAGGCTGCGCGTGATCCAAATGAGCCAATGAGCTGTCAGTCTGGGTTGCTGCTGCTGCTACTTTTAGACACAGCAGGCAAACCTGTGGCAAGCCGGGCGATGGGAAAGAAGGAGAAGACCATGAGAAAAAGAGAGCAGAGAAAGTGTGGACTGCTGGAAGAACTGCGGTGAACTGGTGAAAGAAAAGTGAAATGGCGTGCTCAAAGATGACCCTGCACATTTAGAGGATGTTTGGCTCAACCTGCTGCTGTGAAGCAGGATTCTCCACCATGAACAGAATCAACAATAAATCTGGATCCAGGCTCAAAATGAGCTCCTTGATATGTGCTTGAGAATGGCTTAGTCTCCATTTAAACCCAGGTTTAAAGGAATAGTACACCCAAAACATGATTAGCCTTCATTTTCTACTCACCCCCATGCTGAACAACACTCTGGAGTACTTTTTTGATATCTCAAATGCATCTGGAGATCTGGGAGGCTTCTTGCTGTCTGCTGACATTCAAATAATGGAGGTCTATGGCGCCCGAGGCAGAAAGGTCCATAAAAGTCCACAAAAACGTGTCAATATTCCTCCATAATGCTCGTCCAATGTAATCCAAGTGTCCTGAGTGGGTAGCGTCCAGAATTTACTCGAAACTAAGTCATTTAGAACGTTTTAGAGCCTAAACAGTAGTGTATAGGATTTCCTAATAGCGCCCCCATGCGCGCTCACGATTCTACGGAAACCGCGGCAGACCAAACTGGAAGAAAGTGCGCATTCAGCGTCTGCTCTGCCGATAATGCAAGCGTAGAAGAAGAAGTTCCGCTTTTCACCTGTTTATTTTCTGCCCTGAGCCAGGTGAGCACGAGGTCAGTCTCTCTCAGAGTTTGAAAAAGTTGTTGATTAGTGATTTTAGTCGTGAAATTAAGAAGATGGTTCGAGTGCGTTCCTATCCTGGATGCTTCAATCAGATGAAGCGGCAGTGTGGAATAACCCATTCCGTAACTTTCCACAAATTACCTCTTCGGGACCCTGAAAGGCTAAAACTGTGGCTAATAGCTCTACGAAAAGATCTAAGGACAGCTAACGTGGATTCTCTCCGTGTCTGTAGTGAACACTTTTCAGCGGATGATTTCCGAACCTGTAAAGGAAGAGCTTTATTAAAGAGTACAGCTGTGCCGATGGTGTCACAACTAAGGACAGAGGTATGTACTTTATAAACCATTTATGTAACTTACACGTTTGTATATGATCTGTATTTTTACCGGTACCTTTTTAAAAAACGTTAAAATGTTAAAACACGCTAATATTACTTGAGTAAAAATGTTAACTTCCACATCAATTTGGACAATCATGGAATTTTTTACAAGTCATGTTATTTTAGTTGCTTTGTTATCATACGGATTTTTTTTACACTGTATGTATGTACAACCCACCTATTGACAAACACCCGCTCCACAGCTCAGTGTGACATTATATTAATTTTGTGATCAATCAATGTGATCATTGATGGCCTGCAAGTTGTTAGTGTTTAGGAGTTAATAAAAAATAAAAATCTGGATGATAATAACTCAACTTTTAGCACCCAGGGAAATACTAATGTGATCCATGATTTAAAATACATAAATAAATAAATAAATAATATTTATCTTTTTGTCTTTACAGCCCAGGCTTCTCCGCAAAATACAACACCTACAGCTTCATGGAGGACACAACAAATGAAATAATCCTTTTTCAGTTAGTGCAGGTAAGGGAAATTATTATTTCATATTTCATATTACAACATAATATGAGAACAATTGTCAATTGTGTGTTTACAAATTGACTGCACAAAGATACATATGCATATATTTTGTAGTTTTATTTGGATTTTGGTCATTCTAATTGGCAAATAATAATTGTGAAGCGGAAGACTGTGATCTATGTATATGTTTTTTTTTTTAGAGGGTGGGATTGAATTTGGTTTTGTACTTAATCCCACTCGTTTTCGTTCTTCAATTTGATAAATGTAGGCTACATTATTTTTTAAATTTCTATATTTATCTATTTTCAGTTTTCTTTTTTTATTGTATCTTTTTTTTTAATATTATTATTATCTATTGTATTTATTATCAATTTTGGTGCATTTATTATATTGTTTTTCTTCCTTTTTTTTGGGGTTATGTTTCTCATTTTCATCATGTGCGGAATGAAATTAAAGAAGTAAATAAATGTATGTGTAATATGTGGAACATATTACAAAATCAATGTTGCTATCGGATTATGACAAGCACTGTCCCATCAAAGATGTATGAAAATGATTTTAAACATTAAATTTTTGTTTTGTGGTACAGGTGACAGAGGCATCCAGCTCTGCTGCCATGGAGCCAGTGGGGTTCAGGAGAGGACTTGATTATCTCCTTGAGTAAGGTCTTGAAGTGGAGGTGGTAACCACTGACCGATCACCATCTATACGAAAAATTATGCGCGAAGAGTATCCGGAAATCCACCATGAGTTTGACATCTGGCATGTTGTCAAGGGTAAGCTGACAAATTGTAATTTGTAAATGTACAATGGTAAAGGAATTACTATAATGAGGAAAATGTTTTTACAATATACTTTGGATAGCCCTTGTACAGCCACATAAACTTTTACATAATTTACCCCTCCCTTGCCAAAGCGCTGGCACCTGCCTAGGTTATACACAGCCCCATTGTGATCCCACACTCCTCTATTACCTGCTCCCACCTTGTACTTCATACCCACCAAGACTATGTTGACGTCACCCATGTGCAGAAGTGCAGTCTGTTGGGACTGTACATCTCCAATCACCTACACTCTCTGAGCCCTGAGCTCCCCATTGTCGTTAAAATTAAATTAAATGAAAAATACTTTATTTATCCCAGAAGGTAAATTAAATATTTTAAAAAGCTCACACTCCTTTCTTTTTTTCGAAACAACAAAGCAATATTGTCTCTAACACCTGGTTCCCTTGATCCTTCCCAAACTCTTTGATCCACCTGTATGAACAACATGTCCTGTCTAACGTTTAGTGCCACCTCAGTGACGTTGCCACCATACACCTGGTGAATACATTTCTTGTACTCCCCAACCAGACTATATTATAAAGGAATAAGTTTCTTGGATGAGAGACAAAACATCTTCTACTCACACGTTTACTCCAGTTGCCATATTTTATGCTTGCTTGAGACTCATTGACGATTGTTCTGTTTTTGGTAGGGCTAATGAAAAAATTGCTGTCAGCATCCAACAAAAAGGACAACCGAGACCTGCAACCATGGATAAAATCCATCTGCAATCACTTGTGGTACGCCTGTTCCACTTGTGGAGGTGACCCTGATGTGAGTAACATCACATTCTTCACATTTAGGCAACATAAAGTTATGATAATAATAACTGATCATGCATCATGTCATGCTTCTTTTTGTTTTCTTTTTCTTTTGTTTTTACTATGGACCTCTTTTGTGTCTGAAATAAAGATTGATTGATTGATTGATATTATGTTTTCTCAGGGAAGCTTGAAGTATTCCATGCATCTATGCTGAAATACACAGAGAAGAGACTGCACTTCCACTACTCAACAATGAAAGCTCGCACCCAGCTTGCCGTTATGGACCACAATGAAAATGTTCAGCGTGAACAGGCCTACACCAACACAGGTAACAAGAAAGTATCTTCAAAACAAAAAAACCTAACCTTGTGCGCTTTGCTCAGTGTCATATACTCATTTATGTCCTCAAAATGAGCTGTATTGAAAAAACAGTAAACATTACATTTAACCTTCAATGGGAACCGCACCTGTTTAGTGAGCTGCTGCACTAAGATCTGCATAACAAATATGGTACTTTATGGTCCTAATTCTCACCACCACAAAATTACAAGTACCAGATTCCTAATTATTTGGATACAATTTCTTGGTTCCTTTTTTGAAACCTAAAACCGAAACTTTTTGAATGCTTTATAATAGCTATGTTATTTCATTAATGTTTCCTCTGTCTTACATTTTCTTCTTTGTTTTTTAGGACAAGCACGGTTCAATGTGGTTTACCCAAGACAAACAAAAGAATGGGTTGCCAAAAAGATCTATGTTCCAACAACACAAACATTCCGGCAAAATCTGGTGGTGCAAGTTGTGCGGAGACGCCTGGACCCCAACATCAAGATCAAAGACCCCCAGTCATATGTTTCTATCCCTCCCATACCAGAAAACATTGCTCAGAAACCAAAACCTGCCAAAGAGGAAGCCATACAAAAACATACTTCCCGATACAGCAGTTAGTCTGAGTGGTGCAGTATTTTTACTCTTGCCTTTTTATATTTGTACTTATGCAAATAAAAAGTCTAGCTGGTGGCATGTAATTTTAACCTTTTTTTTTTTTCAAAATTCTGGGATACAGAGTCTGATAAGGGGTTTACTTAATATAGTTATGACATGACATTTTTAAATAAAATGGCATGTGTCTGTGGTTGGTTTGTCTGCATTTCACACTTAGGTCTAGAATAAATATTTAATCAAAGGAACAGAGTTACATCTTTCTTACCATCCAAAGTCATTTTGTTTATTTCCAAAACAACACAATAGTACAGGAAAGGTTACAGTTATCGGCTACATAAATTCTGAAATGTTATCTATAATGAGGCAGTATAGGTTTGTGATTTGGGAAAAAATATGAAATATAATGAAGTAGTACAAATTAATATGGAAGAGTCTCTTAGGATTTGTTTATAGTCTTTACAACTGTTCAAAAGCTGCCTCTGCCTCCTTGAAACCAGTATACACTCCATCTGGTGAAGGGTAGCTGGGATGGATGCTTGTAACAATACAGGCTGGTAAAACTCTTCTGCTGTCCTTGCCAAGTCTCTCGCCTTTCAGAATCCACTCGAGTACCACACGGTAGGCCACCAACCTGTACTGACTGGGGGAGGGGGGGGGTAAAATGGAGCCATTATTTTAGCAATACAAGTGAAAAAGAAAGCATCTCATCCAGGACACAAGCTGGGTAAGATGCTGAGTAAACAGACTTTAGTACTAGCATCACATACAAAAAACTGCACAGTGAGTACCATTAACATTATGTATCTATATATATATGATATATATATATATATATATCTATATATATATCATATATATATATATGATATATATAATAATATTATTAGCAAGGCATAGGCCTGTTGCACAAAACTTACTCTGCAGAGAGCGTGTTGTTTGGTCCTGCGGGTCTTGACCTCTTTTTCCAATTGATTTTGGGCACATGGAAAAACATCTCCAGAACGTCACAGGTCAGTAATGGTGGATAATCCGTGTTTTGGGTGACACAAAGTCTTTGGCTAGTGCTCTCGGTCTCATCAGTGGAGATATTTAGATCCTCCAGTGGTGGCATCAACATGTCCCAGTCCACACAGCAAATGCTCTCCTCTTCTGTTGGCATTGCTTGACAATTTCCACATTTACACCACGTTTCTGACGCTCTACGTCTGTAGCACAACGGTGTTTGCGGCTCAGCTTGAGCTGCGGCTGCCTCATCCATGTCTCTAAGTTCGTCATCTGTGTATTCTGGTTCATAGAGAAAAGGCTCGGCAAAGAACTCCTGCTTTTCCTCAACACTGAAGTCCTCAGACATTTTTCTTTCGTTGTTTCTTTCTTTGCACAGGTAAACAGCACATTTCTTCTTCTACGCTTGCATTATCGGCAGAGCAGACGCTGAATGCGCTCTTTCTTCCGGTTTGGTCTGCCGGCTTCCGTAGAATCGTGAGCGCGCATGGGGGCGCTATTAGGAAATCCTATACACTACTGTTTAGGCTCTAAAACGTTCTAAATGACTTCGTTTCGAGTAAATTCTGGATGCTACCCACTCAGGACACTTGGATTACATTGGACGAGCAGTATGGAGGAATATTGACACGTTTTTGTGGACTTTTTTGGACCTTTCTGCCTCGGGCGCCATAGACCTCCATTATTTGAATGTCAGCAGACAGCAAGAAGCCTCTCAGATCTCCAGATGCATTTGAGATATCAAAAAAGTACTCCAGAGTGTTGTTCAGCATGGGGCTGAGTAGAAAATGAAGGCTAATCATGTTTTGGGTGTAATATTCCTTTAAAGCCTCGCAGGGCAGCCTAAAGCCCACTGCCAACATTAAGACAGAAAAAAGAAAGAAAATAACAACCATCAGTTCAGGGGTTTGAGAAAATATGGGAATCAGGAAATTATCCATAAACCAAACTGAGCGATTGTTGTTCTCTACTTCAAAAAACACTTCAGATTTTAATATGGATTTTCTATTTTTTTATTTAAAAATTCAATGTATAACATAATAAACACCTCATTTTATTTCAGTGTTAAATACTGTTTAAAGTAACACATTATAATAGAAAATTTCTCTGGACCTTTAATGGTTGGTGTTCTTTATCTTTCGTGGCATTTTATCTTTCAAAAATACCAACCAATACCTTCTTCAAGTCTTGTGTTGTGTCCTAATAGGTCCTATTATGGGGGTGGGGGGGGGGGCACCTGAATGGACTTCATATGTTATAAATAACATCAGGTTTCCATAAATAATGCATAGAAGCTCAGCTTTGCAATGATGCCAAATGTTCCTTTGAGATGACAGCAGTGATCGATGTATAAACGTATCTGCAGCATCAGGCTGGTTGTAGTACATTTTTGAAATCGCTTCATCCAGACTCTGCTCTCTTATTGGTCAGTTTGAGGTGTGGTTAATATTATTCAGAAACGACACAGACTCGGTTCACATTGCATCCTGTCTGCTTTCTAAATGCTGCTGTTTCTTTGGGTGTTTTGGAAATCCGAAGTTTTTATGCTGATACATTTCTTTCTGTATGCACTTGAGTTTGACTGGCAGATTTATTTTAGATCACAAACTTGATGTGCAACTTCCATCACTTATGAACACAAATTCACAAGTTTGAGGCGGTAATCTGAGCTCATTGAATCGTATCTGGAAAGAGGGAAGCTGGCAAAGCTGGGGGGTAAATCCCCCAATCAGCTGGAAAAGTCAGATAACATATTCCTTGTAAAGGCAGAGGATTACATGAGCAGGCGATAGTGTAACCATGGCAACAGCTGGCACTGAAGGTGCTCTGACACCTGTGTGTCAGGTGCAGATGGGAGTTGGGCTATCAGCAGGAATCAGGAGGTTTAATTGTCACCTACTTGAGGTGAGGGACTAAAAAAAAAGAAAATCAAAGGCAGCTTAATGGGATATAGGAAATTTCCAGGCAGGAACAAGATCCTATCGGCTAAAAGCTGGATTGAGAGTACTTGGTGTCTGAGCTCCACCTGCGACGTAACGTTGCATCATGAGCTCAAGAAGAAAACCCCTGCCATGAAGTTAGACAGAGGCCAAGAGCCTCGTTTATGCTGCAGGTACAAAGGACAGCGACTCCTCCTCGTCCCTTTCTGCAGGTATTATCCTCTCTCTACCTGCTCTGCACGTTGGAGCTTCCTCTTCTTTTTCTTCCAGGCTGTTCATTTTGTCTACAACAGACCCAAAGTGATCCACTATGGACCCTAATCATCGTCAGCTTAATGTGCAGCGCTTCTGTGAATATTTATGTGCAAATGTGGACTGTGTATATAAGTGTTCACCAAATCCAACTCCCCAACAAGCCTATGTGCCAAGTCTGGATGTGCACATCTGTTTGCAGACTCGCCAGCCATACAGCAGATGAATAAAAGATGCCTCTGTTGACGTGTGACAATGAGATGGGCCATGCTTAATTAATATGCGAATATGGCTAAGCTTCTGTCATTTTGCAGCAAAAGATAAAGTGTTTGATGCTTGAGAAACTCGTCAGCATTGAATAAAATCAGCCTTTGTTTGATTCATTAAGAAATAAAGCTTTGAGCGAAGTTTGTTTTCCCCGAATGTCGCCTCGCTCAATAAAGCTGTGTTTAGAATTCATTTTGTGGAGGATAAAGATCGAAATTTTGGATCTGATGAATAGATTCAAATTTCATTTGGATTCTGTGGCATCTATAAACTATCCTGATAGAAAATGAGCTCATCTTTAGGAAGCAGGAAACAATAATCAGCCACTTCTCTATGTGCAGCGGCAGGTGGAAGTACATCTGACACGCTGGGTCTTTAATCATCGCACCAAACAAGAAACAAGTATTATCTTTACTGTAACTTATACTTTATAATACCGTAAATCAGCATTTTTCCTTTTTAAGTTTACAATCATGCGATATTTGCTTATAATAAAATACAGCTGGGTCTGTAGTTGGCATTACAGTAGTAGCCTTTGCAAATTTCCTTCATGGGTCCTTGACTGGACCTTGGTTGGTCCTTGGCTGGTCCTTGGCTGGTCCTTGGCTGGTCCTTGGCTGGTCCTTGGCTGGTCCTTGGCTGGTCCTTGGCTAGTCCTTGGCTGGTCCTTGGCTAGTCATTGGCTGGTCCTTGGCTGGTCCTTGGCTGGTCCTTGGCTAGTACTTGGCTGGTCCTTGGCTAGTACTTGGCTGGTCCTTGGCTGGTCCTTGGCTAGTACTTGGCTGGTCCTTGGCTAGTCCTTGGCTGGACCTTGGCTGGTCCTTGGCTGGTCCTTGGCTGGTCCTTTGCTGGACCTTGACTGGACCTTGACTGGTCCTTGGCTAGTCATTGGCTGGTCCTTGACTGGTCCTTGGCTGGTCCTTGACTAGTCCTTGACTGGTCCTTGGCTGGTCCTTGACTAGTCCTTGACTGGTCCTTGGCTGGTCCCTTGGCTAGTCCTTGGCTGGTCCTTGGCTGGACCTTGAATGGTCCTGGGCTAGTCGTTGGCTGGTCCCTTGGTTGGTCCTTGGATAGTCCTTGGCTGGTCCTTGGCTGGTCCTTGGCTGGACCTTGGCTAGTCCTTGGCTGGTCCTTGGCTGGTCCTTGACTGGTCCTTGGCTGGTCCTTGGCTTGTCCTTGGCTGGTCCTTGGCTGGTCCTTGACTGGTCCTTGGCTGGTCCTTGGCTGGACCTTGACTGGTCCTTGACTGGTCCTTGGCTGGTCCTTGGCTGGTCCTTGGCTAGTCATTGGCTGGTCCTTGACTGGTCCTTGGCTGGTCCTTGGCTGGACCTTGGCTGGACCTTGGC